GTCTGCAAGGCGCTGATTGATGTGCTAAAAGAACATGTACGGGTGAGTATGAAAAGATATTTATTTATTAATAATATAATTATATATATATATATATATATATATATATATATATATATATATATATATATATATATATATATAAATATAATTCTTAAATAAAAAATAAACTAGAACAAAAACAATAATGAGAATAACATCAAACAGGATAGACAACAAAATTTATATAAAAGGAAATGGTATTTCGTAAGTTTACAAGTTTATAGATCTAGAAAAACAGCATTTAGATTTGGCATATCCAGTGAGGAATGCGAAGAACTGGGTGTAGGGCATTGAGAACTTGAGTTTGATTGGGAAATACTTCCAGGAGAAGGTGTTCGATGGGTCCAGTCCATACGTGCATACGCATTCATGGGAGAAGTTTCATATTTTCCTCTGTCTGTTGCATATAAAATTTGCATGCTCAACTTCAACACGTGTCCTTGGGCTATATGTTTTTAATTTGTTTCCGACATGTGCGCCATAAACAAAGCATGGATCTGCAGGTTCTTGCGGACAAGCAACGGTTTCTTTCAAAATGCGATAGGCCTCTTCAGCTCTTGAGTTGCTGTTCTTTGTACTTATTTTGTTTCTTTTTGGTTTGGACGATTGGAAAGTATGGCACTCGTCCGTACGGAAACAGGGTTTTCTATTATAGATGAAGCATGGTCACCAGTCTCATTATTACCCGTCAGAGTTACATCAATGTTTTCTGAAACATGGTCTTCGGCAATATTTTCGTCGATGTTTTCGCACTGAAAATATAAAAATATTTTATTTACAACTTTATAATAAACTATACAAGCAAACTATTTGTTTGATTTTCACTAATTTGATAATTTATTTAATGATTCTAAAACATTTAATTTCTGACTTTTATTTTGAACATGAGGTGTTTTGAGACTTAGTTTGCTTGAATAGTCTATTATGAAGGTGTAAACATGGATTTTCGTCAAGTAAAGATCGAAACAATAACACATTGTGTTTATTTTTAGATGCCATCAACCCCTGAAGAATGGCTTGAAATTTCAAAAAGATACGCAGAATTATGGAATTTTCCAAATTGCGTTCGGGCAATAGATGGCAAGCATGTTGCTTTACAAGCGCCATTTAATAGTGGGAGCGAATATTACAATTATAAGGGGTTTTTCAGTATTGTGCTATTCGCGGTGGTTGGTGCCGACTATAATTTCATATATGCTGATGTTGGATGCAAAGGAAGAATTTCGGACGGTGGAGTATTTAAACATAGTGAGCCCTATAAGAAATTGGCCCGGAATAAGTTGAACCTACCAGAAGATTCTAATTTACCCGATCGTGAGAAGAAAATACCGTATGTTTTTCTTGGCGATGAAGCATTTGCTTTATCTCGAAATGTCATGAGACCGTTCTCAGGCCAGTTTCAACAAAGATCTCCTGAACGTATTTTTAGTTATAGACTTAGTTGAGCTCGCAGATTAGTAGAAAATGCATTTGGAATTTTGTCCGCTGTGTTTCGGATATTGAGAAAACCTATGCTACTCCAGCCAGAAAAAGCGAAATAAATAGTATTGGCAATACTTTTTTTACACAATTTTCTAAGACGAAATCATCGCTCTAAAGATGTATATATGCCACCAGGAACATTCGACAATGAAGTTAATGGACAGTTTATAGCGGGTAGTTGGAGAATGCAGAATGACACCATGACATCGCTAATACCTATTAGAAATATACCTCGAAAATCAAGTTTACCTTCTCAAGAAATTCGTGATGAATATAAAGCCTACTTTTCAACCAATGGCCGTGTGCCGTGGCAGGATGAATATGCTTAATTTGTATAAAAATATTGTATCCAACTGCTTACCTGTGTGCCAGCTGTGTCTTTGGGCTCGTCTTTATCCAATAAAAAGCGAAACCTTTTAAATGCGAACCACTTCGATACATAAACTTCGTCGTCAGCACCTGAAATAAGAAGAAGGTTATGAAGTTAAAGCGGCAGTAATAAATAAACAAACAATTTATATACCATTATCTATTAATAAAATGTTATTCATACTATCAGTATTTACTTACCTTTACCTGTTCCAGTAGTCTGTGTACCTTTAGCTTTTTCTCTGCGGAAAGAACCCAGCAGAATGCTTATTTTTTGTTTTACATCCAAAACACTAATGTTTAAATTTGTAGCTATGGTAATCCAAGCATCCTGCTTCTTTTGTCTATTAAAATGCAAAGTATTTTTTGGATCCCATAAAAGACGACATTTTTCGTACTCATCTATCAATTTCAGGGATAATTCATTGTTCCATTCCATTTTCATTTATTTCACTAGACAAACAACAAAACACAACGACAACTACGTCCACACTGAGCATGTTATGCGTACGAAAACCTTCTGATCTTCTCGAAAGACCGACAGCCGCCGGATCGTGTTTGTGCGCGCAAAATTGCTACGAGTACGCATGTGCGCGTTCTCATCTGATCATTTTTACGCGTAAGTCGTTCGTGCGAGTGAAAATGCTCTAGTCAGTACCCGCCTTTATGTCTCCCAATATTTTTTAACAGATTCTTGAAATGTAGCTGGGGTTTTCTTCATACTAGTTACTGATGCAGTTGCAGCCATAACCTCAGTTACTTCGCTTTCGCTACACTATACTTAAATTATTGTCTTTATCTTTAACAATACTTGTACTGTAGACAGAAACAGTATCTGTATCGTTGTCAGCACGAGATCCTTGTAGTTTTTGCATTTTTTTCGAAGCTGGTTCAAGCATTTCACTTTCTTGTTCTTTTTTGTGACGGCCCAGCACAGGTTATTTTAGAAACTTTTAACTTGGCCGGATTGGAATTTTTTGATCAACTAATAACTTATGCAATCTAAAAATATGACCCATTAAATTCGTTGTATTTCTGTTCCGTCCCTATTTTTTGGTAAATGTTTCCGTACATTAATTTTTGGAGGAGCCACGACAAAATATAATTTTTTTGCTAAATATTTTAAAATTAAAACGCGCACTAACTTGGAACACTTTTGTAATTTATTATTAACCGACCGCCCTTTAGACAGAATCGACCATCCACGATCAAGCACGATCAACCAAGGACAATCACATGACTCGTCGAGCGTCGAGCAGCATTGATCGATTTGTTCCGACCAAAACAAGAAGCGTTTTCTACTTTAAAATTTTATTTTTTGAATTGGGTTACTTTTTTTTTTGTTAAAATGTCTGACAGTAGTGATTCAGAAGATGAGGTTCTATTAATATATATGTTGCATAAACGAACAAAATTAAATCGTAATATTTGGGTTCGTGAAATTTTCTTAACTCGAGAAGAGCAAGGAGAATTTTTTATTTTATGTCCTCCATTAAGAAATGAAGAAGAGAAATTCCAGAACTATTATAGAATGTCGCAATGATGGTTTAGTATTTTAGTTCAATTGGCAGAACCAATTTTTTACATTGGATTGGATACACGAACTATAGAAAAACTAAAGTTTTCTAAAAAGAATTACTGTGACCATAAGGTATGATTGTGTTTTTTTTTGTTCATTATACCCACTTTAAGATTTTTGCAAAATAAAAGTTTAAGAAGTTGGAAAAGAAACAATATATATATCATAATTTTCATCCAATTCTATGTTTCGGGAACCACAAAAGTAGGTACCATGATTTTGGTGTCATTTTGCTTCTCTATGTGTCCCTAGCTTATATCTGAGTCCGATAAGGCATTCTCTATCCCAAGATCGTGACACGGACAGACAGACATAGGCACTTTAATATAGTAGGATTTTGTTTCTTTCAGATATTTAGCTAATAATGGTGAATCATTTGCATCAGCATCTTATCGATGGAGAATTAGTGCTAATGAGTTATCAATTATTATTAAAATTAAAGGTATGTTAAAAATGATTTATTCTGCATTAAAAAGTACATACCTAAAGTACCTTACACAAGATGATTGGGTCTCAACAGCAAAAGGATTTCTGAATAATAAATCATTTCCGAATTGCAAAGGTGCTGTGGATGGAAAACATAGAATAAAAATCCGAAAAATTGTGGTTCCTTATATTACAACTATAAACAGTATCACCCAATTATGCTATTAACAGTTGTAGACCTTAGTTATAAGTTTTTTATTGTTGACGTGGGCTCAATGGGCAAAAATAGTGATGGTGGAATATTTGAAAATAGCGAATTTGGGAATTTATTAAAACAAAATAATCTTGATTTGCCAGAAAATTCACCAATTTAAGAAAATGGTTTGTTTATGCTACATGTTTTTATTGGAGACGAGGCCTTTAAGCTTACTGAAAAGAAGGTTACTTGACAATACGTCACCTGAGAATTATATTGTTCTATAGACCATTTTCTAAAAAAATTACTTATATATATATATATATATATATATATATATATATATATATATATATATATATATATATATATATATATATATATATATATATATATATATATATATATCATAATATTTGTAAAAATTAGCTTGGTCTATATCCGAAGAGACGCCTGTTGCATATGGCTTTATAAAAAAAAAATGGATTTGTTGACCGAGAATTAAATTGTTCTATATCCAAGACATTGTGCTATGTCCCAAAAAGTTTCAATCGAATTTTAATATTAACTTGGTCTATATCCAGCATGCCGTAAGAAAACACAGGGAATTCACATAAAAAAATATATTATTTATTCTAATGTTTTTTATGGAATAAACCACTATATTTGCAGAAAAGGCTTTAATAAAAACTCTACGGTTTATCTTAATTATTAATAACAACTACTAATGAATTTCCGAAATCGAAAAATATATTGTTGTGTAATTAGGACCTTTTTTCTATCCCCTCCAAACCTTGGCGTTGTAAGTGTATTAGCGTGGTCATTAGTATCAGTTTATATCTTGTGGTGTCATGTTGCGGGTGTCGATGAGATATTGGCGTTAAAAACAATAAAAATATTGTAATAATGAGTGACGATTCATCAGAAGCACCAGTAAAACCTTCCGAATGCCCTACTGATGTTTGGAAGTAAGTAGTACAATAATATTATTCTGTATTAACACTCAAAAGTTTTGCGAAGACTGAAAATGCACTAGATATGGGGGAGACTGGAAAATTTTAATTTTAAAATAAGTGTAATAATTTTTACGCTATTAAGTCTCACACGAAGAAGTAAATGACGGTAGTTTAGTTAGTAAAACAGTATCATTGATAGTATGTGCGCCACATAGAGACGACACAAAAATATTCTTATTTTTTCAGTTCCCTTCACGATATCATAGCGGAAACCGAAGCGTTAGACGAAAATGATCAAAATTATAACAATTACGTCATACCAATAAAAATTCCTAACATGCAGGATAAGGAAAACCTGAGCGAACAGGCAAATAAGGAAAAACTAAGGTAGGAAATGCTTCTTTAAAATTTTTAAAAATCACTTACTGTTGTAAATTTTAGTTTTGCTTCAAATAACGCAAATGAAACCGACATACTCTTAGAAATTATTGATGTAGATGTTGAAGGAAGGCCAATTGAACGTGAAGGAGAAGTAATCATTCAAAATCCAAACGAACATGAAAATTCAGAAGTTACAAAATCGCGTAAAAGAAAAAGGAATGAAAAAATGTGGAAACAGAATGTAAGAAAAAGAGGAAGACAGAGTGGCAAAGAGTATGTCGACGTTACTGGAAAAACGAAACCGGGTAAATGTGTAAAATCCATTTCATGCAATGAGAAAAATTGTCCTTTTCGCTGTTATTCAAAAATAACTGAAGACGAGAGAAAAATTATATTTGACAAATTTTGAAAGCTTACTGATGACAAAAAAAGTCATTTTTATTCAAAACAGAACTAAAAGCGAAGTTAGCAAAAAGGCCTTCTCTTATGTATATCATTTATATGTTCGTGGAGTAAAAATCAAAGTGTGCCAAGACTTTTTTTTAGCCACGCTTAACATTAGCAAGAATAGAATATATTACTTTTTTAAAAAGGTACAGGATCCTAAATCTGGTGTCCCCAGATCTCCATTAACTGGTAAACATAAGAAAAAGGTGATACTGGATGAGAGAAAAGAATTAGTTCGTAAACACATTGCATCCTTTCCAACAGTTGATTCACACTATTGTCGCGCAAACTCTTCAAGAAAATACCTAGAAACGAATCTTAATATTCAGAGGATGTATGACTTATATAAGAGTGAAACTGAAGAACCCGTTAAGTACCATTTTTACAGAAATATTTTTAACTCGGAGTTTAATATTGGCTTCCTGAAACCAAAAAAAGATTTATATGTTCTCTGTGAAGCATTTAGATGTAACAAGACGCCAACTCAAGAAGAAATATCGGCTCACGAAGAACATATAGAGAGAAGAAATATCGGCAATTTAGAAAGAGATAGAGATCGAAAGGCATTAGATGACAATACAGTAGGTGTAATAACGTTTGACTTTTCACTACCAAAGAGTAATGTAAGTTCATTTTTTTATAAAACCAAATTATCTTGTTACAATCTAACAGCACACTTTGACAAAACTAAAGTTGTCTATTGTGCGATATGGAATGAAATGATTTCAGGAAGAAAAGGGAATCATATTGCAAATGCTGTCTTTAAAATTTTACAACAAGTTGTTGCGGACAATCCAAATATCAAAAGAATTATTATGTGGTCCGACAGCTGCGATCCCCAAAATAAAAATTCAATTATGTCGTTCGCTTTACAACATTTTTTAAATAAAATTGAGTCAGAAAACTTAGTTCAAATTGAACAAAAATTTGGAGAGCCAGGGCATGGTAATATTCAGGAAATAGATAATGCACATAGTTGCATTGAAAGATACATACGAAATTTGGATATATGGAGTCCTCTATCTCTGCTAAAAACATTAGTGCAAATACCAAAAACCTGGAAACTCATTTAAAGTTATTCAAATGAACCCACAGGATTACAAAAATTTTGAAATAATATCTGCTACTTTCAACTACAGCATGATTCCTTATACAAAAATAAAACATATTATTTATAACAAAACCAATATATATAATGTGCAATTTAGAAATTCCTTTGAAGGACAGTTTTCGGTCATCAAATTAGATCATAAAAAAAATACTCTAAGAAGAAAAGGCAATTGCTTATCATTTCGGTCAGTCCCCATTACGAATTTAACGCCACAACTATCCGACTTAAAATTCAAATATTTGTCGGAAATGTTGCTTCATATGCCTGAAGTCGACAGAGAATTCTATAAAGTAATTTTCAAAACATCGGCAAACAATCAAATAAAAAATAATACAAAAAAACAAGTGACCGATAAAAAAAATATTAATGCATCAAAGAAGAAAGAAGAAGAAAAAAAGAAAAAAGTTGGAAGAAGGGCACAAAACAAAAAAAATAAAACTCTAATTATTATTAGTATCTCATACCTCCTGTTCTATATCATGTACTTAAGGTATTTAGTTTTTGAGAAATAAATCTAAAAGGCGAAAGTATTATTGTGTTCTTTATCCTAAACTTTTGTTCTATATCCCAAAATGATTGGAAGTTTTAAAATTTTACGCTTTTGTTCTATATCCAAATGGAATTATTTCATATTATTGGATGTTCTGATATCGTAATGCACAAATTTTTGTGCGAACAAGAATATTTTAATATTATCTTAAGTGAAATAATCTTATTTCCTAAATTAGTTCAATCTGTTAAATGATCTACACTTCCAAACTTTAAAGCTTCTTTTATCAATTCTTGATTTTGTGGATATAGAAAACTTTAATATTGGGGTGACGAATAAAAAAAGGATTTTTAATTACAGACTTTCATACTCAAGAAGTATTGTAGAATGTACTTTCGGAATATTAGTGTCAAAATTTCGACTATTTGAAACTGATATTAGTGTACATCCTGAGAAAGATCGGTGTGAAGTTAGTAGCCAAAAACTGGTAGCTCGTTTACCGAGTACCCCAGAACAATACAACGGCTCGTTAAAAAGGGCAATAGGTATGTTCATTTCAGTTTTATGTGTTAATTGAAAACCGAGGTCGTATATTAAATGTTATTTTCCTTACATAAATAAATAATAATAATAATAAATACATGAAAAATAATACATTCAAAATTAAAATTCTTAATATTCATATTATTAAAAATAAGATATCAAGTTAGAATTAACACCAAGTATAAGTTTTAATACAAAACAGTTACTGGCTAGAAGCGCTCGTATGGGGTAGCAACCACACCCCAATTTCGAAAAAAAATAATTGTCCTAGTTAAAAATGAGATATCAAGTTGGGATTAATACCAAATATACCTTCTAATATAAACAGTTACTGGCCAAAAGGAGAATCACTTAGCGCCCTCACAAGGGGTAGCAACAACACCCCAATTTCGAAAAAAAATATTTGTCCTATTTAAAAATGAGATATCAAAATGGGATTAATACCAAGTATACCTTCTAATTCAAACATTTACTGGCCAGAAGCAAAATAGCTTAGCCACCCTCTGAAGGGGTAGCAATTACACCCCTATTTCGGAAAATCAATATTTTACGAAGTTAAAAATGAGATATTAGGTTGGGATTAATAACAAGTATACCTTTTATCGCAATCATTTACTGACCAAAAGCAGAATCGCTTAGCACCCTCGGAAGGGGTATCAATCACACCCTTATTTCGGAAAAACAATATTTGACGCAGATAAAAATGAAATATCAAGTAGGAATTAATACGAAGTATACCTTTTAATACAAAAAGTTTCTGACCAAAAGCATAATCGCTTAGCACCCTCGGAAGGGTAGCAATCACACCCCTATTTCGGAAAATCAATATTTTACGCACTTAAAAATGAGATATTAGGTTGGGATTAATAACAAGTATACCTTTTAACGCAATCATTTACTGACCAAAAGCAGAATCGCTTAGCACCCTCGGAAGGGGTAGCAATCACACCCTTATTTCGGAAAAACAATATTTGACACAGTTAAAAATGAAATATCAAGAAGGAATTAATACGAAGTATACCTTTTAATACAAAAAGTTTCTGGCCAAAAGCATAACCCCTTAGCACCCTCGGACGGGTAGCAATCACACCCCTATTTCGGAAAATCAATATTTTACGCAGTTAAAAATGATATATTAGGTTGGGATTAATACCAAGTATACCTTTTAACGCAATCATTTACTGACCAAAAGCAGAATCGCTTAGCACCCTCGGAAGGGGTAGCAATCACACCCTTATTTCGGAAGAACAATATTTGACGCAGTTAACAATGAGATATCAAGATGGGATTAATATCAAGTATATCTATTAACGCAAAAATATAGTGGCCTAAAGCAGAATATCTTAGCACCCTCTGAAGGGGTAGCAATCGCATCCCTATTTGGGAAAAACAATATTTGACGCAGTTAAAAAAGAGTTATCAAGTTGGCATTATTACCAAGTATGCTTTCTAACACAAACAGTTACTGGACAAAAGGAGAATCACTTAGAGCCCTCGCAAGGGGTAGCAACAACACCCCAATTTCGAAAAAAAAATTGTTCTATTTAAAAATGAAATATCAACATGGGATTAATACCAAGTATGCCTTCTAATACAAACATTTATTGGCCAAAAGCAAAATAGCTTAGCACCCTCTGAATACACCCCTATTTCACAAAATCAATATTTGACGCAGTTAAAAATTAGATATCAAGTTTGGATTATTACGAAGTATACCTTTTAATACAAAAAGTTTCTGGCCAAAAGCATAACCGCTTAGCAACCTCGGAAAGGGTAGCAATTACACCCCTATTTGGGAAAAACAATATTTGACGCAGTTAAAAATGAGATATCAAGTTGATATTAATACCAAGTATGCTTTCTAACACAAACAGTTACTGGCCAAAAGCAGAATAACCTAGCACCCTCGGAAGGGGTAGCTATCACACCCCTATTTGGGAAAAATAATATTGGACGCAGTTACAAATGAGGTATCAAGGTCGGATTAATACCAAGTATGCTTTTTAACCAAACAGTTACAGGCCAAAAAGTGAATCACTTAGCACCCTCGGAAGGGGTAGCTATCACACCCTTATTTCAAAAAATCAATATTTGACGCAGTTACAAATGAGATATCAAGGTCGGATTAATACCACGTATACTTTTTAATACGTGCAGTTACTAGCAAAAAGCAGAATCGCTTAGTACCCTCGTATGGGGTAGCAATCACACCTCCATTTGGGAAAAACAATATTTGACGCAGTTAAAAATGAGGTATCAAGTTGGCATTAATACCAAGTATGCTTCCTAACACAAACACTTACTGGACAAAATAAGAATCGCTTAGCTTCCTCGCAAGGGGTAACAACTACACCTCTATTTGGGAAAGAATAGGATATCAAGTTAGGATTGATACCAAGTGTACTTTTATTACAAACAGTTACTGATCAAAAGTAGAATCGCTTAGAGCTCTCCTAAGGGGAAGCAATCACATCCCGGTTAACAATGAAAATACAAGTTAGAATTGTTACAGGTTATTTTTACTAATGTATATAATTTGATCCTTTCCCTTATTGAGATTATTTTACTGTATCCTTATTTTGAATTTTAGAAATAAGTACGTATTTTCGACAAAACCACCTTCTCTCCGTCTGTTAGATTTTCGCAACTGATATATGTGGCCATATTTCTCTGAATGGTGAC